AGATCAGAACTTTTCTCAAGCAAAAGCTTAATAACCAAGACAGCATGCTGCACACACAATCTGTTTCCCCCTCTCTTTTTTTCAGTTTACTCAAAGGTGAACAGATCTTTTGCGCTTCATCAATACTATACCAAATACCTATTGCAAAGAAGAAAATCTAGCCTTTTTTTTAGCATGTGTCTCTGTGTGGTATAAATACACACACACACACACACACACACACACGTTTTTGAGGTATCATGCTGGACCACAGAATCTTTAGAAAAAGACACAAAAATTTCTAAACTAGAAAAAATGGCTCTCCTTTAGCAAAAACCATATCCTTTCATATTAAAATTATATCTTATTTTTCTTACATACTTTACATAGTTGTTATCTTGAACTTTAGAGTTTTATTCAATTATAATAGTTAGAATTTTAATTCCTAACAACTGTGAACCAGTGTCCTGTAGATTGCCATTGTTTTACAACTGTTCTTTAGAAATATGTTTCCACAGCCAGGTGGGATGGCACATCTTTAATCTCAGAACACCGAAGGCACGAGGATCAGTTAAAGGTCATCCTTTGTCAGTTTGAGACCAGCTTGGGCTACATGAGATCACATTTTAAGAAAAAAAAACAACTAAAATATTTGTCTTATTTCATTTTTTAAACAATATTTTTTATGATTTTAAGACATGTTGGATGTGAAACTTGTGTATATGTAATACTATGTTAGTAGGCATGTTTATTTTATTCAGACCAATAATTTTACTCAAATCACATAAACTTGGGTCAGTTAGATGGCTCACTTGGTCTTCTGCTACTAAGCCTGACAAGTGAGTTCATTCCCCAGAATCGATGTGGTGGAAGGGAAGAACGGACTTCTACAAACTGTCCTCTGGCTTCCACATGTGCACTGTGGTATGGGCACCATCCCCCATAAAGAAATAAAATGTAGTAAAATCACACAAACTTTAAAAATACAAGTTTTACTTATTTGTGAGTGATTTTAGTCAATTTTGTATCCTATAAACAAAATACAAACACTTGTATGGAACATGAACATACATGTTGACATAACACACAGGTATACATGTATATATAAAATACAAAAATAAAGATGGTATATATGTATGTGTGTGTGTGTTTAACTTAAGAACCTTCAAGAATGAGGTTATAACATAGTGGTAGACTTTTGCCTAGTATGTACAAAGCTCTAGGTTTGATCCCCAGCACTGCAAAGATAAACAGGTAAATAGTTTCCATATCACAGAGTGGTACGTGGTTACAATTCTAGCACTGAGGAGGTTGAGGCAGGAATATTATGCGTTCTAGACCAGGTTATCCAGAACCAAACAGCATAGTCCCTGGTTCAAAAAACAAGAGCAGTGGTAGGGTGCTTGACAGTCATTCAAGGCCCTGGATCCATCCTCAAAAAAGCAAGCCAAACCAAAACCAAACAAACAAGCAACCCCGCTCCATCAAGTCATTGAACAGATGTGAAAACTCACAGCATGGAGGTGTAGCATAGGGGAAGAATACTTGCTTATCATGGTTAAAGACTTGGTTTGATTCCCATCACTGTAGAACAACCAACCAAACCTCAATTATTTACCCAGATGGTCAGATCCAACAGAGACAGTGGCTTCAAGAATTCACATATATAGCACACGCCTTTAATTCCAGCACTCTGGAGACTAAGGCAGGAGAATCACCAATTTCATGCCTATCTTTGCTAAATACCAAGACCTCTCTCTCTCTCTCTCTCTCTCTCTCTCTCTCTCTCTCTCTCCTTATCTCTCTTTCTTCCTATTCAACTTTTATTTAAACTTTATTTAAACTGAATTGATCATAGGTAGAGCCATTAAAACAATATTGCATCAGGTTTTATCTAGGGCAGAAAACTAATACTTTAGGTCCTTTGTCTCTAAAATTTTAAATTCTGTTAACAGTTCACACTACAGAAGACCCAAGTTCAGTTACCAGAACTCACTTATGGTGGCTCACAACCACCTGTTAATTCCAGTTCTAGGGTATCTGATGCCTCTGGCCTCTGAGCACAACGTGCCCACATTAAGACACACATACATATGTATAACTAAAAATTTTAAAAATCTTTTAAAAATACTTTAATTTTTATTCTCCATCCCTCTGATTTCTTCTCCCTTAAATTTGCACTTTGAAAGCAATGGGCTTTTTCTTTAAAAAAAATTACATGAAAATTGGAGTAGAGTAGCAAAACAAACCAATTATTACACTCTAAATATAAACCAAAACTTTAAATCACAAGCATACTTAAATGTTTCATACTATGTAAAAAAAAATCCAGAGGCTTCTCTGCCCTTTATTACAGAACCAGACCTTTGAAGTCTGCCTGAAGGTGCCTGAATCTAGCCTGTTTGGTGGTAAATGAATGGAACTAGAAATTTATACTAAATGAAGTGACACAGACTCAGAAAAACAAATGACGTTTTCCTTCATTTGTGGATCCTAGCACCGAATCTTTATATACAAGTATTCCAGTTACTACTCATCAAAGAAACTTCTTTTGCAACAGAGATGATTACAATTCTACAACTAGTCACACACAGATATTGTGAATTGCCCAAGCCTCAGTGACACATCTGCAATGCAACCTCTACATCTAAGGCTCACCGAACATAGAACAAGGGGTAAAGAGGACACTAATGCATCTCTCAATTCTCATCAATGAAGTTCCCTCATGTAATAGAGATCCAGGAACACAAAAGGTTACAAATGAACAAAGCACGGGGAAAGTAAGAGTCTGGAGAGAATGGGTCAGTGGATAGGACTCTTATATTAAAATCTACCCAGGGCTCAGGGACCATTTCTGAAGAGGGGGCTGAAAGATTTTAAGAGCCAGGGAGGAGGTGCTGACCATATGGAAGAGTCTTACAAGCTCCTGGGACCTTGTTCATATGAACCTACAGCAATGATGTCAGCATGTGTAAGATCTATGCAAACTCAAGCAGACAAAATCCCAGTATAGAACTGTGGAAATGGGCAACAAGTCCCAAACTTAGGGATTACCTTGCATTGAGGGATGTCTGGGGACGGGACACTAACGACACAATAGGCTGTAATACAAATGACAGAATGTATGAATTCTAATGGGGGGGGGGGGCGGGGGTATGGAGAAGGGGGTATAGAGATGATTAAAACCGATTAAGATGTTCCATATGAAATGCAAAAAAAATTGAAAAATGTTTATAAAAAATCTATAAAACACAGCAAATAGAAAATGAAGTATAAAGAGAGGAAAAAAAAAAAGTAACAACCAAAAAATCCAAGCCACTTAAAAATGCCTGCTTAGCAAAAGGTTTACTATTTGCAAATGGGGCTTAGCAAAAGGTTTACTTAACAAAAGGTTTAGCAAAAGGTTTACTATTTGCAAATGGGGCTGTAGGTCATATTTGTCTGACAATATTTGGAGCCATCTGCACAAAAAATCTTGATATCATGGTTAACTCCTTAGAAAAGGAGTGAAAACCTGTCCCTGTGAGACTGATTACAAGTGGATACTCTAAATTCAATCATTACACAATTGATTTTAAAAAATCAGTATTTCAAGCCAGGCCTTTAATCCCAGCACTTGGGAGGCAGAGGCAGGTGGATCTTTGTGGGTTCGAGGCCAGCCTGATCCAGTGAGTTCCAGGGCAGCTGGGGCTACAAGGAGACTGTCTCAAAAAGACAAAAAAAAAAAAAAATCAATATTTCGTTCCAGGTTCTAGTGATCATTTCAGCTGCACATATACTAAATTTAGAATGAAGGTGATTTAAGACTAGTTTGTTTATTTTTGAGACAGGCCCAGGCTGAGATACAAATCTTGATAATATTTCCTCAGCTTTAGTCCTAAATGCTAGGATTACACGTGCAAGCTATGACCACTCTCAGCATATTCTGGGGTTTAAAACTGCATTTTTTGTTTTTTTGAGATATGTTTTCCCTGCTGCAGACCATGGCCACAGCTGGTCTAGAACTCGCAATGTAGACCAGGCTGGCCTCACCCTCACAAAGATCCACGTGCCTCGGCCTCCAGAGAGCTGGCATTATTTATTTTGAAACTCACAGTCTCACCAAGTACCTCTGGCTGCCTCAAACTCACAGGAATCCTCCTGCCACAAACTGCTGGATTACAGGGATTACAGGTGTGGATTGTCACATTCAGTGCACTTCAAAGACATGGCAGATTTTGTGTGAGAAAAGTTGTTCTTTCGTAAACGGAAGGGATGTACATGAGCTGGGAGATCAGTGCACACTTAAGGAGACACTGAAATCTGAAACTTACCAGGGAAAGATTTGTGCTACCCAACCAATGTCAACCCTATGCTTAGCGAGAATAAGGTACTGAGGTTTCTGTTTAAGCTATTAGTACAAAAGAAAGCCATTACACTTGGCAATTTCCCTCATTCTTTTCTGGCTGTAGAACATTCTAACAGTGTAAAACGGTGTCATCAACCTGTATCGGAGGCATTCAGAGCTAGCCTGGGACGCCAGCGGCTCGCAGGCACAGCGTAGACCTCAGACTGAGGAGAAGATGCCCAGGAAGAGACCTAGACACACAGTTCCGGCCCTCCCCCGGGCGCAGCACACACTTGAAAACCTTCCCCCAACTTCCGCTTCCGTCGCCCCGCCCCCGCTCCTGGCTTCCTCGAGGCCTCAGTTCCGTCACATCCGGCTCGAGCGATTCGGAGTTTGGAACACAGGCGATGAAGTCTGCGTTTGTGACGGTAGGGACGACCAGTTTCGACGACCTCATCCTGTGTGTGTCGGCGCGCGAAAACCTCCAAGTGAGTTGGGCTGGGCTCTCGCCCGGCGCGGTGGTCCGGGAGAGGAAGTGTCACTGCTCCTATGAAGCGGCGGCTGCCTCGCCCGTGCCCTCTCACGCCCCTCGCGCTCGCGGCCGCCGCTGCGTCCCCGCCCTACACAGTGTCTTCTAGAAGGTCCCTCAGCGCCTCCTTCCGGAGGCGTCTTTCACGTTCCCCGCCTTTGCTCCCCAAGGGGCTCCACTCCGCCCCGCCCCCGTCCTTGGGTGCTGGGATCGCTGGCTGCTCCTTTGGCCCGAGCGCTGAATGAGCGCCTCTTCCGCCTGCCGTGCCTCTAGCCTGGGCGACGGGACTTTGCGCCAGCTCAGCCCGCTGCGCCCGGGAGCCTGTCCGGTACGACCACGCCGGACCTGTGGCGTCCTCCGCCACGTGGCGCCAGCGGCGTCCGCTCTGGCTGGCCGTTTTCTGGCTTCACGTGTAGGACAGGATCAGACTTGGCCTTTGGTTGTTCCCTAGTTGGCGACAAGTCTTTTCAAGGTCATGTCTGTCTCCCCCACACTGAGACCGGGGGCCTAGTGAGGTTCCTAGGCTCTGTCCGGATGTGGAGAAGAGGGTTAGTTTTCGAACTAACTGAAGTGGGCAGCAGGTAGGTGGGGGCTCGCGGGCGCGATCCGAGCGGCAGCTCTGAGTTTGGGCACAGCTCTTCTTCCAAGCACTCAATTAAAAGGGCCGCTTTTACTTATTTCCTGTTTTAGATCTTCAGGAGTCTCGGTTACAACCGACTTGTCCTCCAGATTGGTAGAGGAAAGGTGGTCCCAGAGCCGTTCAGTACTGAGTCATTCACTCTGGATGTTTACAGATATAAGGAATCTCTGAAAGAAGACCTCCAGCAAGCAGATCTCGTCATCAGTCATGCAGGTACAGTGTTGAGAGAATCTCGGGGTTCCACTTTGAGAAGTAACCCATACTTTCACCTTTTCAGCGGAAATTCTGCAGGTCTGGAGATGTAACTCAATGGTACACTTACCAGGCATGGGAAGTCCCTGGGTTTAAGCCTTAACACCACAAAAAAGAAAACACCAGGTGCTGGGGCGCAAGGCTGTAATTCCAGCATTTGGGAGGGGTGGGCAATGGTGTTCCAGGCCAGCCTTTGCCACAATGCCATATCTCAACCAGCAAAACCCAAACTCTGAATACATAGAATGAATTTTCTGTAGCCCATGACGAACAGTCATTGGACTTACTGGAATATAGAACTGTAGTGGAGGGAATTTAGTCTTTCTGGGTGAAAGGATAATTTTAACCCCGTTTTACCTAAGAAACCCCAAACGCAAAGGTTCAAAATAATGTACACAGTGGCGTTTCTAACAAATTGTAAATTTGAAATCAGTATTTGGGCTTAGATCTAAAGGATTATTGAGCCTTTTCAGTGGTCTGATTGGTTTTGGGGAAACTGGCATTGAAAGTCTTTTTAAAAACATTTCTGTTGAGTATGGCAAATAAAATATTCCTTATATTTAAAAAATTATGTTTATAAATTCCATTTTATATTTAGAGGCATAATTGGTATACTTATAAAATATTTTGATGTATTTATATTTATAATTTTAGTTATTTGTAGCTCTTCAGAGAATCATCCTGATCAAGTTATTGAGACTTCAGTTCTTTTAGAAAAATAATTTTGAGGAGAAGTGCAATATTGACTTCTATGGATGTCTGTGGGGTGTTAGTATTTAAGAAGTCTAGTTTGCAGAGAGAAAATTAAACAATACAATTTACTAATAGATTGGTGATTAAAAATGCTTAGCATAGTAATGATCATACAGCATATTGGGTGTCTGTATGTGTATGTGTATATATGGCATTATATTTATGTAGCCCAGAACTTTAGGCACTGCTCAAATTCTATGAGTATAACTCATTTAGTTCTCTGAAACCTGTGAACTAACTTACTAGCATCTCTATCTTATAGATGAAGAAACTGAGGCACATGGACATTAAGCAATTTATGGTTACTTATAAAAGACAGATTATAGTCTGGTTCTAGACTCCGTGTTCTTAACTACTACCCCAGCATATGACATCCAGAAAGGATTTTTTTATACTTTTAACAGTCCTAAATACTATTAAAATATCTAGGAGATTTTTTTTTAACATCAGCTTATTTATGTGCATATATATGCTTTTGTGCCACAGCATGTATGTGATGGTCAGAGGACAATTTGTGGGAGTGGATTCTTTTCATCATGGGGGTTCCAGACATCCATCTCAGATTGTCAGGCTTCGTGGCAAGTGCCTTTACATGCTGAGCCATCTTAGTAGCCTTCTAGGTGATTATAGATTGCAAAGTTGAACAGGTCAGTCCATAGGGACATAAGGACTTACTTTCCCTGTAATAGTGACTGCTGCTGTTCAAGGCTGGCTCTTTTAAGACCTTTTAAAAAGTTAGTACATTTATTTATTTACTTTGCATGTGTTGTCCTTTGACTTCTAGCATACAACGTGGCACATAAAAACCACACAAAGTTCTCTACCTCTCCCATATGGGTTTGAGTATGGAACTCAGGCTTGAGGGCAAGAGCCCTTACCTGCTGATCTATCTTGAAGGCCTGAAAACTTAAATAAAAAAAAAAAAAACCCAAACCACACAAAAAACAATTATGGGGTTGGGGGGGGGGGGAGAGTGTGTTTGTATCCTGTGGTAGTACATGTTTGAGTGCATATGTGCATGAGTATGTGGAAGCTACAGGTGGACAGCTGTTGTCTTGGATTGCTTTCCACCTTATTTTTTTTGAGATGTAACTGAACGTGAAGCTTATCAGTTCAGCTAGGCTGGCTTACCAATGAGTCCCAGGGATTTGCCTGTCTCCTCTTATTACCCCCTCAGCTGGGATTACAGACTTGGGCCACTGCACTCAGCTTTTAATGTAGGTCCTGGGAATCCAAACTTGGGTACTCATAGACGTGCTTTTTCCATTTTCGCTTCCATAAAACTGAAGTACAGCAGTCCCTTGTTATCCACTAGGGATTGAGTGGAGAATACCACAATCTGGGATGCTCAAGGCCTTTACTTAAAATTGCCTATTTTCATGCAGCCTGTTCATATTCTCCTGTGTACACTTAAATCATTTCTAGATTACTTAGAATACTTAGTGAAAATTATACTGTATAGTTCAGGGAATAATGACGGAGTCTACATGTTCAGTACACGTGACATGTTTTTTGTTTTAAGTATTTTCATTGCTCTGTTGATTGAATCTTAGAATGCACAACCTGAGGATTGAGAGGGCTGAGTATATGCTTTCACATCTAGTATGTTGAGTCTTACTTGGATTCAGGACCAAGCCCAAGGCATATTAGAGACCCGATAGTATAGTACTTAATTATAGGCCGTGATGTCATTGACAGTGAAAAAATAAAAGATGAAATAATTTCGTTCTGTTATGTTTTGTTTTTCCCAAAAGAGAAAACATTAGTACATTGTAAGGGATAGCCTGCAACACAGTAACAAGATTGGTAGCAGTAGCTGAAATGATCTTTCTTTAAAGTTTGGTTTATAACATTTATTAGCATGGTGGCTCTTGTAATCTCAGCACTCCGGAGGCAAATACAGGAACATAATGAGTTCAAGGTCACCCTAGGCTATATAGCAAGTTTCTGGCAAGATTGGACTACAGAGTGAGACTGTCTTAAAAAATATAACCCCCCCAAACATACAAACAAAACCCCAAGAAACAAAAACGCTTATTAGAGAGTAATTGGTATACTTTTTCTTTTTTTGGATAGAGTCTCACTGTGTAGCTCAGGTTGACTTCCAACTCATGATCCTTCTGCCTCAACCTCCCATGTGCTTGGATTCAGACATCTGCTACCAGAATTGGCTTACACTTGTCATTTTGAATGTATAATTGAAAGGTTTGGTTTATACAGTTTTATTGATTAGTTTAACTTTAAAATTAAAAATATACAGATATAGAGTACCCTAACTTTTAAAAATATGAATTATTAGTGGGACTGGACAGATTACTCAGTGGTTAAGAGCACTGACTGCTCTTGCAGAGGATCTGGGTTCAGTTCCCAGCACTTGCATGGAGGTTAACAACCACAACCGTCTGTAACTCCAGTTTCAGGGAATCTGACACCCTCTTCTGACTTTGGAGGGCATTGCACGACATGGGTGCACTTACCTGCGTGCAGGCAATACACTCATGCACATAAAATAAAAATAAAATAATTTAAAGATATGAATTAAAAGCTTGGATTTATTTTTATAGGTGCTGGAAGCTGTTTGGAGACTCTGGAAAAAGGCAAACCACTTGTAGTAGTTGTAAATGAAAAGTTGATGAACAATCATCAGTTGGAATTAGCAAAGCAGCTATACAAAGAAGGGTATCTTTTCTACTGTACCTGCAGGTATACTAGCAACTGATTGACTATCTGGCTTCTTGCTTACTTTCCTCCCTAGCTCCACCCACCTACCTAATCTTTTGACTTCTACCTTTTCTCATTTTTCAGATAATTTTTATTTTAAACCTGTAAAGCTCTCATTTGTGTCTCACTTTGACTTTGTGTTGTATTTTTTTCTGTACCCATGGCCATTTCTTTGTATGTGAATTTGAACGTGTGAATGTGCATGCCTATGGGCGTGCAAGTTTCTGAGAATCTTAAATTTTTACTTCATTGTCTAGATTTTCAGTATTCAGAGAAGGTATTTGCTCATTTTAGTTAAATATTTATTTAGTTATTTTGATAGTTCCATGTATATGTGTGTATAATGAGCTTGTCAGTTAAGGTTTTGCCTTATTAAATCCACCAGAATTCCTAAATTAGTTATATTCAGCTGTTCATTTATACCTAATAGGAAATGGACACTGTCGTGTTTGGGAAACAGTGATAAGCATTGCATTGACTACATAATGGTAGAATTTCACAGGGCGAATGAAATATGCTACAAATCAAATAAGACAGGGTGGGGCAATAGCTGGGGTGAAGACTAATTTAGGTGGAATGCTTGACGAAGGACCTGGTGTTTGAGGTGAGACTTGAATTATGAGGACCAGTCATTGGAAGTTTAAGAGACCAAGGAAATACAGTTAGAAAAGCCCTAACTTAGGGAATGAACGTGTGTTGAGAAACAGGGAAGGTTAATATGGCAGGAGCACAGTGAGCAAGGGAGAGTTGTAGTATGAGGCTGGGAGGACATAGCTCATGTAAGAGTTCTGATTCTATGCTGTTTAGTGAGATGCCAGTGGGGCACTCTAAGCAAAGGAATGTGTGGTAAGGAATATTGCTTTTTCAGAAGCATATTAGGATCCAGTAGGAACTGATGAGCATTGCAATAGAAGCTTGAAGGAAAATACTATTTTTCAGTTAGTTCTTTAGGACACTAAAACTATACCAAAGGGTCAGGTCAGTAATTCCCAGTTGCTTGATTTTAAAGTCTTTTTTTTTTTTTAATTTGATATTTTTAAAAAGTAAATAACCTCTTAGAGGAATTAAATTGTATCTAAGTATTTGTATCTTATAGCATGTTATGGTTAGAAAATGATAAGCATTTCTTTTGATATTTTTTCTGTTTCTTACCTGCCAGGCCTTTTCTAGGCACTTGGTATATACACACATCGGTGAACAAAGCTTCATGTTCCCATTGGGAGGATATAGATTCATTGACTATTCCTGGAATATAATTGTTGATGTGCTCATCCGTATAATGATGGAGGAAAGGGAATATAGTCTTGGTACTGTGAGTCATAAAAGCTAGAAATACGCATGTTTCAAATAATGAGTATATCTACCCTTGCTTGGGTAGATGATACTGTTGAAGTTGACATTTTTAAAAGAGGAATAGGTTTCATCTTCTTAACTTCTGTATGCACAAATTTATGTTTTTAGGGACTATTGAAGTATTTCCATTCAAA